GGGGGGGGGGGGGGGGGAGCGCGGTTTTTAACAGGCTGCTGCATGATCCACGAGCCAACCTTGTCCCACTGTGCTGAAGCTCGAGCTAGGAGGAGCAGGGAGGATGCGTGCGAGCAGGAAGCCCTCCGTCTCTGCTCCTTGGCCCCCTGGCACTGGAGGGAGGCCAATTCCAAGGGAAAGACTGCACAACTCTTTGCCCGGGCCTCGCCTCCCCGCCCGCCCACCTCCTGTGCACCCGGTGCCACCCCGGCCCAGCTTTCTTCCTCGCCCCGCAGCACCTGGAGCCCCGAAGGAGCCGGAGGGAGCGAGAGGTGAGCGGGGCTTCATCTGCCCTGGGGACGGCGACAGGTAGGAGAGGGCGGGCAAGGAGGCGGCCAGCTGTGGAGGTCTCCAGGCCCCACCGGGAGGTTGGCATCTGCGCCTCGCCTAGGGCGCAGAAACACCTCGGGCCGGCCCTGGGGACATCCTCCCTCCACCCAAAATCTTTACAGGGGAATGTCACTGATCTTGAAAGTTTAACACTGGCTTTGTGACAGCCATTACCCCAGTTGACACCCTCCTCTCAAACCTATTTGCATGCCTAGCAACCAACATATCCCAGCCTGGGAAGCCAAAAGCAGAGGGAGGAAACAGGGTTGGGTGGATAGCCTCCAAGAGGAGCCTGGAGACCTCCCAGAATCACAGCTGACCCACTCCCCTGGAGAAAATGGCTCTATGGCATTATGCCCCATGGAGGTTCCTCCCCTCCTCGAACCCCACCCAACCCAAGATCCACCCCCAGATCCCCAGGAATTCCCCAACCCAAAGATGGCAAACCTAAAGCAGGGGTCAAAAGAAAGAAAGATGGACAACAGGCACTCGAGTATCCATTCTCGTAAAATCTAGATTTTTCCACTTTCTCATCTTTTGATGGGCATGTCTGTGATAGTAGACATTTTGCTCATGTAATGGACTAAAACCACCTTTAAGGTCTTTCTCATAACACATGCATGTAAGTGAACTCCATGTATGTAAAGACACGTGCAAAACACATGGTCAAATTCTAACATTTTTGGTGGCATTTTCTGGATTGACTGCACCGGAATGGAAGAGAGTCTTACCCAAAGTATCCACATTCCCACCATCCTCCTGCAGGACTTGCCAAAACATGGTCCTTTGGCCCGGTTCCGTCAGACTCTGCTTGACTGCATCTGTCTCCCCCAAGTTAATCTGCTTCTTGGAAAAGAACAAAACACACCACCACACACAGACATCTTGTTGCACGACTAGTAGCGCGAAGGCGCAAACAGAAGATCGCACACCAGAACTCCCAAAATCCAGAGCCTTTCAAATATATAATCCTTAGTCCGCTCAAAAAAGCATCATTCAATCACCCTGATTTAGAGTCAGTAAAAGGCCTGTTAATATGTCCTCAAAACATGCATTGAGTCCAGTAGCACTCAGAGTGACAGTGGCTCTCCAGTGTAATGTCCCACTTTGGCTGTGGGTTCCCAGGTTAGAGTACTCACTGAGGCACCTGTTCTCAGGTCCATGCAGCAGAGACAAACTGGCTCAAAACATCAGCCCTTTATTTGCAAGGAGACAACTTCAACTGGCATACAGACACTGGAAAATGAAACTCCACTCCATTGAAATACATTGCTGCTCAAAAAAAGTTGCAAAGAAAATGCGGAACGGATTTTCCATTAAGGTTTCTGGACCCAGATACACTACTCTGGGACTGGAATGACAGCTCCCAGAGCAGAAGTCCATTCTCAGAACGCAGCTGCTACTCCCAGGCAATGCTCCCTCTAAGCTGTGGAGTCCTGTGAGCAAAAATTCTACTTTGTGAGCTACCGACATTAAAGTTGTGAGCAAGCGATTGGGTTACTGCATAAATTAGTCTGCTCCAGAGCCATCCTTCCTGAGCCAAGATAAAAATGTGTGAGCCAGAGGCTAAAAAACTGTGAGCTAGCTCACACTAACTCAGCTTAGAGGGAACACTGTTCCCAGGGACCATCATTCCACTCTCGGGGCTGTCATTCCAGTCCCAGAGCAGTCTGTCTGGGCCCAGAGACCTGAAAGAAAAATCCATTCCACATTTTCTTTGCAACTTTTTTTTGTGCTTTAGCCCAGAGGAGCTTCCTGCCTGAGTAGAAACCAGTGAAGACAAGGTCCAGCCAGCTGGGAAGTTCGGCAGCCCTGATCTCCCTCAGAAGGGAGAGGACAGGAGGGGATGGAGAAGAGAGCCACGGGCTTGATTAAAGCTGTGGGCAGGCCTTAGGTTTGACACCCCTGCCTTAAATCTTATACCCAGAATTAAATTTTGTTGGTCTTAAAGGTGCCACTGGACCCAAACTTTGTTCTGTTGCTTCAGACCAACACGACTACCCCACCTGAATCAATAAATGTGTGTGCGTGTAAAGTACCGTTAAGTCCTAGCTGACTTATGGTGAGAACCCTCTTGGGGTTTTCAAGGCAAGAGACTTTCAGACTAGGTGACCTCTGCGTAGCCTCTGGACTTCCTTGCGGGGGGGTGTGTCTCCCATCCAAATACTAACCAGGGCCGACCCTGCTTAGCTTCTGAGCTCTGATGAGATCAGGCTAGCCCGGGCCATCCAGATCAAGGGTTCTCACTACGTACATATGGATTAATCTCTTGTGGCGGAATAAATCACCTTTAAGCGAGCAGGCAAGAGCATTTTCATAAACTGATTTTTTTTTCTAACAGGACATCAAGATTTATTTTGTTTTGTTAGAGGCATGTGTGATGGAGAGGGTAAGCATGATTTTCTGGAAAACAACGAGGACGGGAAAACTGTTTGTTGCTTTCAGAACCAAAGCCAAGATTCTTGGGGGAATGGATCAGCTGCCAAATGGCATAGGACCTCCTCGGAAGGCCATTCTGTGGAGGCTCCGGACCTGAGCCCCTCTTGCCCAGCAAGGCCTGTTTTCTGAGAAAAAAGAGACCGTGCTTTTCAACCTTGTCTGGGAGTCACATGCATCTTCATCCTTTGAAGGATACACTGAAAAAACACAACTGTCCTGGAATCTGCCACCAGTGGGCTCAGAAATGAACCTTACCAGCCTCAGTATGGGAGACAATATGGGAAACATGGTTCATGTATGTTTACAGCAGGAGAGAGCAGGTTTTGTGTCTTTGGGAGTGACTTGATTATTTTTTTTTAAGCTTTGGGAGCGGCCAGTCACAAAATGGCAGCTCCCGTGGGTGGAGCCAGTAAAAATGGCAGCTCCCGTGGGTGGAGCCAGTCATAAAAATGGCAGCGTGTACAAAAATTGCAGTGTTTCAGAGCAGGTTTTAGTGCTTCAGTAGTAGTAGTAGTAGTAGTAGTAGTATACTTTATTGTCATTGTACATAGTACAACGAAATTAAAGATGCAATCATTTGATTTTGTGTCTTTGGGAGTGACTTTATTTATTTTTTTAAGCTTTGGGAGTGGCCAGTCACAAAATGGCAGCTCCTGTGGGTGGAGCCAGTAAAAATGGCAGCTCCCGTGGGTGGAGCCAGTCATAAAAATGGCAGCGTGTACAAAAATTGCAGTGTTTCAGAGCAGGTTTTAGTGCTTCAGTAGTAGTAGTAGTAGTAGTAGTAGTATACTTTATTGTCATTGTACATAGTACAACGAAATTAAAGATGCAATCATTTCGGTGATTTACAACAATATTCATATACACTCACACACCATTCACTACTGTCCCATAACTCCCTTAAGGTTCACATAACAACTTAAAGCCACCAATGTCACCCAAATTCCAATTTCATACAGCATTTAAGGCAATAATAGCTCTCGAATAGAAACCCTTTCCTCTGTTGTCTTCCCAGCCACTGCCATCACTCCAAATTATAACCCCCCCAATTTATCTCTCCTAAAGGGCAAAATATATAGTGGCTTACCAGGGACAGACTCCACAAAACAGGGTACCATCCTTGTCAAACATGGATCATTAAATCGTTTGTTGTTATTGTGACTCATACCCTTTTCTTTTCTCTCTCGTTAACTTATTTGCTGCATCAAGTGGATCTCAGACTTGGGAGCATACAAAATGTCTAAGCGAACAGTTAACAAACCAACGTTCCCCTCAGAGCATCGGCCTACCTTTGCCTGCCCAGCTTCAGCTGTTTCCTGTCCTTCGGGAGGAAGTGACGGAGAGAAGTGTCCTGGGCGTTTGCTTCCTCTGCCTGAGAGGAACGGAAGACAGATTTTAGATGGGGAATGAGCCTGCCATCCATATGGTGGCCAGATGTGAAGGAAGAAAAGTTCCATAGTTGTATGCAGAAGGGAATCTTGAAAGAGGCAGCGGGTGAGGGTAGGCAGCAGTGTTCCCTCTAAGCTGAGTTAGTGTGAGCTAGCTCACAGTTTTTTAGCCTCCGGCTCACACATTTTTGTCTTAGCTCAGGAAGGAGGGCCCCAGAGCAAACTAATTTATGCAGCAGCCAAATCGCTCGCTCACAACTTTAATGCCAGTGGCTCACAAAGTAGAATTTTTGCTCACAAGACTCCACAGCTTAGAGGGAACATTGGTAGACAGAGGTGTGAAAAGATGTCTCTGTGAAAATCTCCTTTTTTTGCAGAAATGGCTCAGGATCCAGGAGCCCGTCTTTGCTCACGATCCCCCTACTAAAAGGTAGCCAGTGGTTCTCCGGGAATTTTTTCCCCTTGGCCTTGTTCACAGCCGGTCCCTTTTCATGACGGGAGGTTTCCACCCAGTGACCAGACACCTGTTCCTCTTCTATTTACCCCTCAATACACGCGAAAGGGAGGTGGTGTTCCAACAAGCTCTGCTCGTACCCAGCAGCCCAGGCCTTGCCAGGGGTTCTTTTAGCCATCTTTCAAACAAATGTACATTGTTCCTGGCAGTCCTACTGAAGGAGAAATTGCCCAGGAGAAAAATGTGAATAACTGATCAAAGTGGGTAGCTTTGAAGACCTACACGTAGTGTTGACAAAAGGGTTACCATTCCCCTGGTGGGGGCAGAAGATTCCCCACCCTCAACTCCTGTTGGTGGCAGAAAAGGGGGGGGGGAATGGCAATATTGCGTGCGCCACTACTTCATTCCCAGTGAAAACCCAAAACTGATACAGGGTAGTTCTAGGGAATTTTGAAAACTCTATGGTTTTACCATTGAGTTCCCAGCATTTCCTACAACTACCCGACGTGACATAGTAGCACACGCACTGTCACCTTCTCCCATGTCCCGCCCACAAATCTACTGGTTGCCAGGCATGGCTTAGCTACCAACAACCTGGAGAAAAACTGCCCTGCCCTTGTAAGAGAGGCTTGGTAGGGTGTCCTTTACCAGCTGATGTTACTTACTTCTGTGCCATAAAAAGCTTCAGATGCCCACGTCCACACATGAATCCTCTGTTAAACGGGCAAGGCTCCCCCCCCCCCAACTTGTTGGTAACCCTATTTATATGCTACCTGGAATCTAAGGAGATGAAGCAGGACAGAACTGTTTTAATAAACACGTCTTATATGCGTTTTTGTGTTTTGACTGATTAATGGATATCCAGATTAACTTGTATACAACAGAGAGCTTTTGACTGGAGTCGTGTCAACCAAAATTCCTTCTACCACATAGCTATCAAAGAAGGCACAAGGTTGTATCAGCCAGCTCTGCCCTTTTAATTGCATGCATGGGGGGTGGGGGTGACGTCTCAGTGGGATCCTTACCCGACAAATGGATCTCCCCATCGCTGTTCTGCGTGGCTTCTTTGTAGGCTTTTCTCCGCGTGGGGTCCGGGGATTCCTCCTCTGCATTCTGGGAACCCACGTCTCGCAACAGCCCCTGAAACAGTAAAGAGGGTCCCGCTCAAGACAAGGCCGGGTGTCTAAAGGGGGAAGAGGCACCTTTCGCGATCTCAAATCTTTTGGGGGCATGACTCATGGAGGCTGCTTCTAAACAAAGAAAGCTCTTAGGACAGTGGTGTCGAACTCATTTGTTAGGATGGCCAGATCTGACATAAATGTCACTTTGTCGGGCTGGGCCACGTGGGCCATAAAACGTAACGCCAAGTACCCGAGATATAAACCGTGTATAAAGGACAGCAGCTCATAAGCTCCAAGCTGGTGTACCCGCACTGCAAGGCTAGGATGGGGCGCAGAGGAAAACCCACATGGATACACTGGAGAGCCAGTGCTGCAGCATTGGGCAGATGCTCCCACGCTGTTCGACTGCGGCAGTTGAGGTTGTTCCACCGTGCTGAAACCACAGTCGGAGTGGCTCCACCCACTCCCCTCCCCGAGCAGTCTTCTGTTCCCTCCCTCGCACCAGCTGCTCGCGGGCCACATAAGAACTCTGGATGGGCCGACTGACACCCCTGCTCTTAGGAGATCACTGAGGATCTGGCAGTAAGCAAACAGCCGGCATGTGACTGCCAAGTAGGACTGCAGGGGGTGGGCACGCGACTGGACTTTCAAGAAAGAACGTTGGGACCTGCATAGGTTAAGGGCCTCCTCCTCATCTGACCAGCATGATCATCTTTGGGGGTCCTGCTTTGGGTGCCCCCGCCGTCTGAGGCTAGATGGCGGCAATACAAGGAAGGGTCTTCTTGGTTGTGGCACCAAAACTGCAGAGCTCCCTCCCCAGGGAGATCTGTCTGTCTTCCTATATTATTGTCTTTTGCCAGCAGGCGAAGACGCCTTTGTTTTTGCCCGGCATTCCCTGACTCACCTTCCTCCTCGTTTAATTGTTATTTTAACATAGGTCCTGTTTCTGAGCTCTGACCTGGGTAGCCCAGAATAGCCTGACCTCTTCGGATCTTGGAAGCTGAGAAAGGTCAGTCCCTGTGTTAGTATTTGGATGGGAAATCACCAAGGAATACCATGGTTGCGATGCAGAGAACCATCTCGGAACCTCTCTTGCCTTGAAAACCCTACAGGATCGACGTAAGTTGGTGGATGGCAAAACCCCCCAAAGCAAACTGTTCCTAAAGGTGACGTGATGTCTTTTTAACTGCTCCCTGCCACCTTCAGGGCCCTAATCGGGTAGAAAGGGGGAACCTAACATAGATGGCCCAGGCTACCCTGAGCTCGTCAGACCTTGGAAGCTAAGCAGGGTTCACTCTGGTTAGTAATTGGATGGGAGACCACCAAGTATGGGCAGGCAATGGCAAGTCACCTCTGTTCATCTCCAGCCTTGAAAAACCTACTGGTTGCCATAAGTCGGCTGTGATCCAATGGCACTTTCCTCCACCATCCATGTTTTAATTAAATAATAAATAATATTGGAGGCAGAATTCCAACAGGTGGAGCACACCCTCCACCGCTGTTCCTGCCTGCAGGGAAAAGCTACAGCAGGGGAATCTTCTGTTCTGTCACACAGCTATTAAAGACTCTCTCATCCTGCCAGACAGAAAAGTTGGCAGTCCAAGGCTGTGCATTTCCCCCTGCATCTCTGCAACAAAAAGGGCCAGAGTTGCTCCCTCTAAGCTGTGGAGTCTTGCGAGCAAAAGTTGTGAGCGAGTGATTTGGCTGCTGCACAAATTAGTTTGCTCTGGAGTCCTCCTTCCTGAGCCGAGGCAAAAATGTGTGAGCCAGAGGCTAAAAAACTGTGAGCTAGCTCACACTAACTCAGCTTAGAGGGAACACTGCTAGAGGCACACTTTTTTTTTTACTGAAAAGGGGAATGAGATACAGCAATCTAGCACCATTAAAAAAAAACTTAAATAAGCTCTCTGAGGCAAGAGGAGCAGTGTAACACAGAGAATAATCGCCATTGTGGAACAAGCTCTCCCAATATCTACAAGACAAACCATGTTGGTTTTCTTCCGGTCAGTGATTTACTTAGAGGGAGTCCTGTTTTCAGGACAGCGGCATATACTATTTTAAATTAAACCATAGTAGCAACCCCAAACCTACCTCACAGGGTTGTTGTGAGACTCAAGGAGAGAAGTACTGCAAAGGAGTCCGTAAAGGGAAAACAGCTAGGGGATTCATAGAGAATAGACAGTATTCAAGATTGTTCTGAAAAGATTGTTAGCGTAGTCACTGATGAGGATGAACTGAAACTTGTTACCAACGCTGTCTCTTTCTGTCATAAAATATGTATCTAATTTTTAAAAATTACCACACAGGTAAATAATTGCATAATAATGATAGTGTGAAAATGAGAAGTCTGTGTGGCCATGACATTAGCATAAAAGTTCCTCCAAACTAGAGACTCTCATAAACGTGAAACTGTCAAGAACGTCTTCCTGAAATATTCAAAAGCACCAATTGGAAAGGGCATTCAGCAGAGCTGAGTTAAGCTGGTTGGTGGGAGCTCACGTTTCCTACCATACATCAGTTCTACCCATTCACAGAATGCCAACAAACCTGCCTACATTTTAGGTTCTGTTGAAGACTTTGGGGATTAACTATTAAAACCTCACCTGCCATTTCCAAGTCTCAGCACCGCCATTGTGGTTCATTAGGAAAACGTCCACCAGGGCCGCCGCTTGGGTGCAGTTCTCGGGACAGCCGGCCCTGATCCACCTCTGCAGCTCTGGGGGCAGGATGGCCAGGAACTGCTCCAGGATCAGCAGCTCCAGGATCTGCTCCTTCGAGTGCCTCTCCGGCCTCAACCACTGGCAGCAAAGCTCCTGCAGCCGGCTGTAAATCCGACGGGGGTCTTCCACCTCTCTGGAGCGGAACTGGCGGAAGTGCTGGCGCAGGGTCTCCATGCGGTTGACTTCCCAGCGCAAGATGGCCGCCTTCACTTTCCCATAATCCTCCCTGTCTCTGCCCTCCAGGGTGCCAAAGGCCTGTTGGGCTTCTCCACTCAGCGCTGGCAGGAGTCGGGCGGCCCACTC